CTGAAGAATGCTCACCCTTTCATGAACGCGAAACAAGTTAACTCAATAGACGGAACGGGGTCACAGGGAGGACGACAGCATCAGAGTATGTGATGTAGCCTGGAGATTGTGTGCCCAGCTCACATGCCCATCAGCAAGGGGCCATCAGGGGATAGGTCTCCCTGCCCAAATGCCTTGACATGGCTGTAGAGCTGAGTCCACATCTAGGCAAAGGCTGTCTCTGGATGGCCTGAAAGAGCAGGTATCGTGAGTGACCACCATGAACTTTCTCACGCTGTGATTGAGGGTGCATGGCATGAGCTGGGATGTCTAACACTGTGTTGTGGCCCTGTTAGGGCAGTGGGTCTCTAGAGTTTTCCAGGAAGCTGTGAGTATCCCACAGCATCAAGAGGAGTCAGATCGGTGAGGTCCAAGTCTCGGACTGACGCCACAGTGTTCACCCTAGAAAGATGCTGAGAACGTGAACTATTTCCTTTGTTTATTCTTTGTGCCGTTGGCTCGCAGATCATCTCAACAAAACTAAAAATAGGGCAGTTCGGCAGCTCCTCAGATGGCCAAGCAGCTCCCAGTTCATTGGCTGAAATTTTCCATCTGTTCTATTCTTCCTGACATGACTGGGTTTCCTCTCAAACTAAGCAGACGAGCAAGAGCCCAGCACTGGCACAGTTCATCTACCCACCTCAGGCGACTCGAGATTCTTAGAGGGTGAGGCTTGGTGGCCAGGGCAGGGCAGGAGTTTCTACACAGCCATTGGTGACCTCTAGGGGATAAGAGGAGAGGAGGAATAGCCACCACCAATCCTACCAATCAGATAGTGTTGGCAATCGGCTTATCCTGAGGGATGTGGACAGCTAGTCCAGACAGCCTCTCCATGCAGGATTCTACTCCTCTTGGGGATGTTCCTGCTATGCCCGTTGAGGAGCGGGCATGCCCACAGACTCACAGACCCCAGGCTCCCACCCACCTCCTATGCCAGCCCTTCTATACCCAGAATCACCTCAGCTAGAAGCCCAGCAGTCTGTGTGTGCTACCATACCACTGACCATAACAGAGCTCATAACTAGTCCAGGTACGAGTGCCCACTGCTGCATGGCTGGGCAGGCAAGTCCTCATCCCTAAGGCAGGACCTCAGTGCCTGTGGGGCACCCTCAAAGATAATCTGTGGAGCCCTTGAGAACACTATCACTTCCAGCCCTGGCCCCAGTCGATCTATGGTGGCCATGTGACATCTTGGGTGGCTTTGCTCAGGTCAGTACCCCTAGTCCACCTAGGGCAGCCACATGACATCTCAAAGACATCTCTCTATTGTAGCCTCTTGGCCCTCACAAGCAAGTACACACTGTATCTGGACAGATAGAGACTAGGAACCTAGCCTCACCTACATAGCATGCCCAGGGCTCTGTAGACCCAGTCCTGGTCCTAAAGCAACTTTGAGGCATATGTCAGGGCCTCCTGTCCCATTATGTGAGTACCTGTCCATGGGTAACTCCAGCCTGTGTAGAGAGTCCCCAGGTCCAGGGATAACCTGCTACATCTGTTTTATGGGTAAACCCCAGTAGATGGCTGCTGGGCCAAAGCAAGCAAACATTTTGGGGAAGGACGGCGAGAAGCTCTGGCTGGATTACTACAGGAATGTTTTGGAATGAACTACGAAAAGATGCCCTGTATAGACAGGCCTGGCCCCAGGGATAGTGGCCTCCTTGGTGGTGCTGTCAAGAGGCTGCCTGGGAACTTGTCTCAGCACAGCACTGGCCCTTGTCATCCTCCAGGACTCTCCTGCCTCAGGACAAGACCCAGGGCACACTCCTTGTCTGGTCTAGCTCACCAGGGCTGTCTCTCCTCTGGAGGTGCACATAACCCCCAGACCAGCATGCACCAGGATGGGGTCATCTCTGGGCCAGGCCTGCACACGGGCTATACAACCAGTGAGAGCAGTCTAAGTGGGACCCAGGGGACTGTGGGGGAGGCCAGATGTGCCAGAGCCTGAATGCTATCCAGCAAGAAGGCCTCCCCCTAGGAAAACCTGAGGCTGACAGAATACTAATCCTGGATGTCCTGAGGGCACACAGGCATCAAGGAGATTGTCCCTATGGGACCTCCAGTACATAGCTGGGTCAGCCTAGCTGGCCTGGATCTCAGGGTGACTGTAGGACTTGGGCCAAGCACTAGTCTTCCCCAAGTCATCCTCATGTGGGGATGAGGGGACCTAGGAGCCCAGGAGGCAGTGACCCTGGGGCCATCTCCCCTTCACACACACTGGTGGGGGCCATCAGTTGGCAACCTCATAGGTAGTGACCCTTACCACCTTAAGCATGGTTCTGGACAATGGACTTCACAAACACAGGCACCCTGTGGTACCCAACACTTGGGGCTCCCTCAGGCAGTGCTCATGCCAAGCCCCCATCCCTGGCTCCCCAGTGGAGAAAAGCAGCAGAGTCAGGTGACTCTAGGACCCAGGGGCTGGGTGTGTGGCTGCTCTGAGCCCCAGCCACCATCTCCCACTGTTCCCTGAGACTCCTGTATGTGTCCATCACACTTTCCCTCATGCCCACACATAGCAGAGATGGGGGCAGCTGAGAGACCAGTATCCAGGACTATCTGCTGCTGATCTGGCACAGCCAGTCCCTCTGAAATAAGTAACAGGATCTCAGCCAGGACCAAGTGCAGGGCCACACTGGTCAACAACCTGTGCCAGCTTTGGTGAAGACCAGGAAAGGGCACTGACTGGGGTCCCTGTAGTCAGAGCAATGAGCTGAGCTGCAATCGACTTGGCCTGCATCTAGGAGCAGGGGTTCCCAAGGCACAGGCTGGGGAGGAAGGACAAGGGGAGGGCAGGGAGCAGCGCCCTGGGGAGGGGCCGTACTGCCAAAGAGTGAGTCTCCCTCCCTCCCCAGCTCCATTCTTTCACTCTTGCCATCAGGCACACACCCAGCATTCACATGGTGCAGAGCAGCCACCTGTGTGCAGGGCACTTCTGGTCTGCAGGATGATGGGCCAAGCGAGGAGACTTGATGTCACAGGTCATTTGGGCCCAAGCACATGTTTGCTAAGAGGGACTGCGGCCTCATACACAGTGAAGGACACATGGAGACTTCTCTGAGATGTTCTGCCAGGAAACAAGCAAGTCAGTGTCGAAAGCTCCAGGACTAGCCCATCTGTTGTGTGCACAAAACCCAATGCCAAGTTGATGACAACTCACAACATCCCTGAAGCACAGAGAACAGCTCGGCAGGGTCTCTGAGGCTGTCATTTTTATGGAAGCAGACTGCCACATCTTTCTCCTGAGGAGTGGCTGGGGGGTTTGGACCACTGACCCACTAGGACCCTTTGCTTTGTGCACACACTCAGAAAAAGAGAGCATTCCCCCATAGAAGAGTAGGTACCTGGGTGGGCAGGCAGGGTCTAGGCCACTGCGATGGGCTGGTTGGGTCTACAAGTGAAAGACTGTGGCTCTGTGACCCACACAATTTTCAACAACTTTCATTTAAAAGTAACAGGATGTCCCCAGCCTGGGTTAGGAGGAGGGCTGTCCAGTCAACAGGCCAATGGAAGAGCATGCAAAGGCGGGGCAGCATGCGGTCCAAGACAGTAAGGACTGCAGGGCATCTGCTGGCTCTGTGCTCACCCCTGCACCATTTAGGGGTCTAGCCTCCACTCTTGCACCCTTGACCAACCCCTGGCAAGGTAGTGGGCCCAGCGAGGCCTAGAAAGAGAAGCGTCAGCTGCTCTCCTGACCCTGTGCACCTGTAAGCCCCGGGTGGCCCTCAGAAACCTCTGCTCCCACTTGGTTAAGTGCACGGGACAGGGACAAGGTCACACACTGAGCATGCTCCATGCCTGGGGCAGGGCAGAAGGGGGTGGGAAGGTGAGAAGGAGAGAGCGGAGGGGAAGCGGGGCCCATCAGTGGAGATTCCACCCCTTGGATGCTTTGTGGGAGGAGGAGTCACGTGTCTACTATTCAAACATTTACGGTACTGCAAACCTTTTGACCCATAAGTTCTAATTCTAGAAATGAAGACTTGCATATATGTACAAAGATGAGTCATGAAACATTGTGGTGACAAAGAACTGGAAACCGTCTAAATATCCACTAAGAGGCCATGGTGAATGGGGGTCATTCACACGTTGGGGTTCAGAAGAATAAAATTCCTCCAATGTGCGCCACAATAGACTGTTGCATGACAACTCAAGGCAAGGCGGTCAATGGAAGTCTGTCAATGGACAGGCAGGCACTCCCTGGAGGGAAGCCCACAACATTACGTAATGTGCATATTACGACGGCATCTACTACAGCGTCTACAATACTGACAAACAGAGGGCTGCAGACACAGGCCCAGAGCCCCTGTTCAGCCCGAAAACTGTCTCCACCACAATGGTCCCCAACCCTCCAATTCCCACCATGTAATGCAAAACCAGGGAAAATACTGTGGCTCAGAGCTGGCTCCACTAGGAGGGATGACTTAGGACAGGGAGGGGAGGGTGGTGGGGGAAAAAGGCAGGGCTTTAATAAGGGCAGCTGGAACCACGAGGGGCAGGTAGGAGGCATCCAGGCCTCACAAAGACAGAGATCTGTGAAGGATCCCTTCTAGCACTGGAGTCAGAGATGCATGGGAAGCCCAGCACTTGCCAAACTTTGTCTTTATGCATTGTGCCCTGCCTCAAGCAGACCCTCTGAGACACCAAGACCACACACCAGCCTGTCAAGCACTCTAGTGGCAAGATCCAGGGACCTGGAGCCCCCCCTTACCACAAACTATGGTGGCTATACAATCCCAGGGTCCCAGGGGCCCTTGGAACTTGCCCAGCCTCTCTCCACAGTTGGCAGACCAGTCTTGAGGGTGCATCATGGTCACACCATGTGTCTGCTCTCCAAGGGGGCTGAAGCCTGTGGCCAAGAATGACATCTAGCAGGGTGGGTGGTGGGTGGCATATACCTCCTAGAAACATAGAGTGAGAGCACAAATGGGAGGCCTGGGAAAATCAACAAGCAAAGTACTCACGTTGAAGAAATTGGTCTTGTTCCTCTCGCAGAAGAGCCCCTGTGCGGGCATGTGGTGCAGCTGTTGCCATGGGATACTGCTACCTAGCAACACGTCTCGGGCCCACTGGAGGTTCTGGGGAGACAGAAGTAGGTTGGGAGTGAGTGTGTGGGCTGCTGGGCGCCCGTGGGGAGGGAAGGCGAGGTGTCCTCACAGCCTCCCCTGCAGACATGACTTTGATCACTGGCTACAGGGCTTGTTTCTGGAGCCTGTGTATGCCTGCAGGGCTGGCTTAAAGAGTATGGCCTCAGATGGCCTGGGGTGGGCACATACACAGGCCCCATGCCCTCCCTGTGTTCCAGAGCTTCTGCATGAATCTGGCACCCCTCTTTCTACTAGGGGACCTCCCCAAACCCAAAAGGCAGATCTGGTCTCATCTCTACCAGAGACCCATGTCTCGGGCCAGAGGGACTGCTCCGCTTGATACAAGGCCTTCATGCTGGGGAGGGGGCGTGTTCAGTGTCCGTGGTGGAACCCAGGGCTGTGGGTAAGAGCCTTTGGATCTCCTGATGACCCAGAAACAGCACACACCTTCCCCAGCTGGCCTGTCCATACCCTCCCGACGACCATCCTCCCACAGTGGATCCTCCAGCCTAGACCTAAGCATTCACATGTGTAACCCCCTCCAGCCTCAAAGTGACAAGACAGCCCAAGTGACAAGCATGCCGCTCAGCGGGTTCGTCCCTGGAACACAAGTGCTGGGACTAGAACGAGGATGGTGCAGCCCACCCCAGCAGGTCCTTCTCCTTGAGGTCTTTAGGACTGGGCCTCCACCCCTCAGCGTTCACACCTCTCCTCAGCCCCCAAGCCTGTGTGTCCTGCTGTCTGCTCTCACCTGGCCAGGCCATACTCACACAAATGGCTTTCATCACAACGTGAACCAAAAGTGGGACCACAGTCCCCCACTTTGTGGCCATGGGCCCCAGGCCCCATCTACACACAGGGGCTACCTCAGACATTTAGTGCTGCTACAACAGAATATACCTCCAGTGTATGGCCTTAGTGTTCTGTTGTTAAATGCCATCAAGTCTGCTACAACTCATAGCAACTTCATGTACAACAGAACAAAACTCTACCTGGTCCTACGTCATTCTCACAATCCTTCCTGTGTCTGAGCCCACTGTTGCAGCCACTGTATCATTCCATTTTGTTGAGGGTCTTCCTCTTTTTCACTGACCCACTACTTCACCAAGTATGAGGTCTTTTTGCAGGGACTGGTCCCTTCTGTTGTCTTAGTTCTCTAGTGATGCAATAACAGAAATACCACAGGTGGATGTCCTTAACAACCAGAAAATGTGTCTCTCTCAGGAGGCTCCAGGGGAACTTCTCCCTCTGTGGGCTCTGCAGTCCCTGTCTCTCCAGCTTCTGCTTCCTTGAGATCTTACTCGCTTGCTTGTTTAATCACTTTAATAAAAGTAGTCCCTGAATTATAAACATCTGACTTTCACCGCTGTAAATTCCTCTAAAATACACTATATTAAAAACTCAACGTATATACAATAGTTTGTAATAACAAATGGGTGCTACTTTGTGACTTGCTGCAAAATGTTATTATTGCTGTATTATTATGGTGAAGATGTTTTATTGTATTTGGAAGTGTTTCTTCTAATGTTTTTCATGCACAGAAAAGTACACTATATACCATATACAAAGACAAACATTTGACTAATTGATGTTGCTGTTACTTAACACTTCCAACTTGATACAAATTTGACTGTTCTTTGTCATGGAAAGGAGTGAAAACATGGGCTAAATCACTGTGTCTGCTCTGCCCAGTGGTCCAGGTGCTAGAGGCCCCACTCCCAGAAACCAACTCTTTCACAAGCCCCTGGAAGCTGCTTTCTGCCCCACCTCTAAGCCTGCAGTGGACACTAGCAGGTCCAGAGGAGATGATCCCCATAGGGGCTGAGCGCAAAGTGAGGAAAGGTGTGGGTAAGGTGAGAATCAAGCTCAGACTTCCTTGCACAGGCCTGGGTCTCGGAAATGCCAGGAGATGGAGCCTGAGACCTCAGCCAGTGGGACCCAGGAAGCCCAGGAGCAGGTTCACAAGCTCTACTAGTGCTTGGCCACTGACTGGCCCCTGGGTTCAGGGTCATGGAGTCAAGGTCTCTCCTGATGGAAATCTAAACAACTCAGCCCAGGTGGGGCTCTCCAGCAGTCTGGTCAGCCCTGGTGGGTTTACAGAGTTGCCCTCTCAGACTTCTGCTCTGGTCTGCTTGGCCCTGGTGGGATCACAGAAGGGAAAAGGGCAGGAGACAGTCACCTGCACTCAGAACACATGAGCCCACCTGACTGTGGATATGTGGTGCCAAAGATATGCTCCTGACCCAATCCAAGAGGGTGAAAGACTCCAGCAGAAGCAGGAACACCTGAGCTGAATCTTCCACAGGATGTTTCAGGGTCAGGGGACTCTTCTAGTCAAGTTGGTGGAGAGACCAGGTGTGGACACACGCATGACCAGCAGGAGCTGTGGTAGGCTGTGAGGTGGGGAGGACCATGCTGCTCAGGGATCTGAGTGTGTCAGGAGCCAGGGGACTCCTGGGAGACCCTTCACTGCTCATGAGACTTGAGAACAGCTCCTCAGAGTCATGGTCTCACAGCTTCTTTGAGGCTCCTGGGGGCTGTGAGACCTGTCCCAATGGCCCTCTCATTAAAAATCCAAGAAAATAAAGTTCAACCAAGATTTCGGGATATGGGTGAGGATGAAGAAAGCCAAGGCCCTGCTTGCTGGCAGCTGTCCTGGACTGCATATACCCCTCTTATGGGTAGACATGGCCACACTCCAGCTATTCTGATGACCTTTCTACCAGACTGGGCAGAGTGTGAAGGGCTAGGAGGAGCCTCCAGGGCTCTCAAGAGGCTGAAAGGAGGCACTTGTGCAGAGTGCAGCTGGCCTAGGGCCGAGCCTACACTAGAGCTGATTGTCCCAGCCCAGCTTCCCAGGGCCCCAGAAGGAGCCAGACTAGATCGATGGCGAAGGCATAAAGCATCCAGATAGCTTAGGAGAAGGCCTGGCAGGGAGCTCACAGGGACAAGGGAAGGTGCCTATGGAATCAGTGGGTGCCATACTGGAGACCCTGATAGGTCCATACAAGAGGTAGGGGGGCAGACATGCCTTGCAGCATTCAAGTATGGAGAGATAATGATGGTCTTGGGCAGATCATGGTACCAGAGTTGTCATAAATTGAAGCTCCAAGAGGCTCAGGAGCTTTGCACAGCCATTTCCCCTCTCCACACACACACCTGAGGAAAGGTCCAGTTCAGGTAGCGGTGCCTAGGACTCACCACACCTGTGGAAGGTTATCATTCTTCCCTCGTCCAGACCCTGAGGAGAGCAGACTGGACTTTGTGGCTAGAAGCAAGCCATTGATCAGAAACCAAATCCAACTCACTGCCATCGAATGGATTGTGACTCATGGCAACCCTAGAGGACAGAGTAAAGCTGTTCCCTAGGGATTCTCAGGCTGTCAGTCTTTATGGGAGAAGACTGCCTCATCTTTCTCCCTCAGAGCTGCTAGTGCGTTCACATCCTTAACATTAGTAACCTGACACTTAGCCTACTGTGCCACCAGGGTCCCTTGTATCAGAAACAGTTGGGCTAAACAGAAAACAGTGGTTTTCAAATGGATATTGTGGGGTCCTGAAGCTAATATTGCAGGATGGGTCACGGCGGGAGGCCCCAGGAACTGTCTCCCAAGGACATCCAGAACATTGCTGTCTGCTCTGGGCGCCTAGGCTCCAGATCAGGTTTTGTCTGAATGAGGTCCAGGGCTTTTAAAAATCTGAAAACAGCTAATTCACATCATCAGGGATTCTGTGATGCAGGAGGGCACAATCAAAACACAACGATAGGCAGACTGGGAGGAGAAAAATTTGGAAAATCAGGACATTCAAAAGCCTCTGTGGATATAGGGGCATTTAGAAAGCCACCTGTATGCCAGGCAAGATGTGTGCTCAAACAGCAACTGAGGAGACCCTCCATTTTCCTCTGGAGCTGGTCCCTAGGTCCAGTGCAAGTCAAGTTCTGAGGGAGGGCCCCAGCAAAGGGTCAGTCTACCAGGCAGGTAGAGGGGCTTTTTAGGTTGAACACAAGCAGAGGGACAGAAACTTAAGTAACCACACATGTTCAGGACGGTAGGCTGTGCAGAAATAGGTAAAGTCACTACCCACAGCCTTCAACAATACAAAATATAAATTCAAGCCAAAACAAATTTTAAAAACCCAACATATGAATAAAAGGAATAATCTGATTCCTACTAGTGCTCTATTAGGTGCCGTTGATACAGCTCTGACTCATAGCAACTCCATGGGCAGCAAAACAATATACTGCTTGATCCAGATTATCCTCACAATCGCTACTATGTTTGAGCGCGTTGTTCCGGCACTGTATCAATCTATCTCGTTGAGGGTCTTCCATTTTTTTTTCTGACTCTCTATTTTACCTAGCATAATGTCATTTTCTTTGTCCCTCCTGATGGCATGTCCAAAGTATGTCAGATGAAGTCTGTCCATCCTTGCTTTTAATTACCACTTTCATGATATTCAAATGTCCCATTTTCAGCAAAAACAATAATAAAAATACCTACAAGGCATAAAAAGAAAGTAATTGCTCAGCAAAAGAATAAAGTGTTAAGAGTCATCCCTAAGGAAACCCAGACAAGGGACTTAAAATTTAGTTTAAAACAGTTGTAGTAAACACAAGGAGGCTTCAAAAAGCTCATGGAGAAAAAGGAGTTGAAAAATAATGGAATGTCTCCACAAAAATTTGAAGCCCCCTTGTATGCTCAAAGAGTAAAAAGAAAACACATCTGCATGGGCACTGACTGAGCCATTGGGAGCTAGAGCTGAAAGTGAAGTAGCCAACTGGTCTAAAGTGTGGGGAGGTATGTGTGAACTCCCAAGCTTGCAGCTAGTATCCATTGAGCAAGATTGGATAGCTAGCTGACTAGAACTCGACCAGATGAAGATAAAGATGCTTGATATTGCAAGCAAGTATAAATCGCTACAACTTGATAAACTGGACCTCTGCTTACAGATGCAGTTGCTCAAAATTCCAACCTAAATGGAAGGAGTCTTCATATTGAGGATCAACTTTGTTTTCTCAATGCACTGGGTTGACAGGGACAGGCAACTTAGACATTGGCTATCAAAAATAGGAGCTATAAAGGCATGAAGTGGCTGGCTTACAAACTTTCATGAGTGTGCTTAGTTTCAGAAAAAGGGGGGAAATGTAGAACCCCTTTGAATAGTCTTCCTTTTTTCCAGATGGATCTGATGAAAGGGGATGGTGGTGATAGGATTTTACGATTCAATTGTGAGTAATTGTTACCAGGGTTAACTGTGACTGTCACAACTACAACTGTAGAAGATGTGGAACTAAAAGGGGGAGTAATTAATCTTTCATTTCAGGAACAGGATCCCAGGACTATCAAGAAGAAAGAGCATGAGTGGAGTGTGAGATCCTACCTATAAAAGAGGTGACAGCAGAGATGGTAACATAGGTGATGGCCTGGAGAGATAGAGCAGTTGCGGACTCTAGATCCTCGGATTGAGAAGGACTGTGTGCCTGCAGGCAGGAGGCTGGCTTGCAAAATGTGCCTGTTGGACATTTAAATGAATATCTATTTCTTGTTTTGCATGTGTACATAAAGTATTTTTGCTTCGTAGATTTGTGAAAAATAAGATGAAAAAGAAAAGCCACAGGAAGGAAGCATGATAATTGTTTCAGGAAGGGGACTGTAATAATTTAGTTGCAGCAAAGCATATGATTGGTTGAAGTAAAGCTGATGATATTATCTAGCAACATTCATTCCATTCACAATAAAAAGTTTTAAAAAAAGAACACACATGTTAAGACACAGTCATGAGCTTTTCAGAGTTAGAGTAGAACATTCATGAACTAGAGCTGTGAGGGTGCCTGTTGAGCCCAGATCAAGGGCTCTCCAAGCCAGAAGGACTCCCAAGGCCAGAGGGACGATGCTGGACTAGCTCAGTATGGTGCACTGAGGAAGCAGAAGGTCCAGGGGGAGGACAGAGAAATGGCAGGGAAAGGGAGCTGGACACTGGGCAGGGAGACGCCCCAAGCTGGATCCCACATGGGAAGGCCCATGTGCTTTCTGGCTCTCCTTCTTATTCTACATGTATGCCAAGATCTGGCTAGGGTCCTGTCCTCAAGCCTTTCCCAGTCAACATTCCTTGCTGCACCCATCGCCTGTTACCTGGAAATCTGGACTACCTTGGACTATCCCCCAGCCATATTTCTGCTCTCCCATCTCCTACCTACCTAGGCAGAAGACACCTCTCCCTCCTGGCAGCTCTTACCCTGTGGGTCTTGCTGTAGGTGTAGAGGAAAGCCAGCCGGTACAGGCTCTTGTAGTGCTGAGGGAAGCGGCTGAGGCACAGATGGAAGGAGGCAATGCACTGCTCCGTGAGGAATTGGCGCTGTTCCTCTGCACCAGCCGGCAGCCCCTGAGGGAAAGCTGGCTCCCCCAAGGGGTCCCCTCGCCTCCTGGCCTCCCATGTGGAAGGGGCCGATGCTACAGGCTTGGTGGGATGGCAGACAGCATGGGGGTGCTCTGCAGCAGACCTCTGGCTGCCCTGTTCAGCCTGGAAGCCCTCTACATTCTCCAGGGGCTCATCAGCTTTTCCTGCAGTTGAGAAGGAAGAGATAGATGATCATCTTGGGTCAGGCCCTGCCCTGCTGTTGCATGACACCAGCAACCACACAGCACTCAGCATCTTCACAGGACACAGTAGAGCAGTAGCAGGTATGGCCAGCACTTCATATAAGACGGCTCATCACACCTTCCACTCAGGCCCGAGTGGAAGAAGGGGCAGGCTGCAAACCAGCTCTCAGGACACCCCTCATCACTGAAGGCTAAGTGAAGGTGGAAGATCCTGGAACATAATCACTGGACATTCATTCCCTGAGCCCCCAATGTGGCCATATTCAGGGGGCACCCTGAAAAGCTAGGGGACCTAACCCGCCACCACCTTGAGCACAAGAGTCACAGGTCTTACAGCACTGACAGCTGAGAGGCTGACCTCTGCCCACTTCTGAAAGCCTCTCACCCCATCAAAGAGGGTGACTCCACAGGACAGGCTCCCTAGGGTTGGCTGTATACCTCACTCCCACCCTACCCTGCAGTGCTCACACACCTCTTCTTGGTGAGCACTGCTCTGGGGAAGGAGTTCGAGTTAGGCAGTGATAGCTTGGTCAGTCTGGTAGTTCCAGGATGAGGAGGCCCAGCTAGCAGGGAAGGCCAACCCAGGAAACTATTGGTCAGGTCCTGGTCCATGGCATGGACCCCCCATGTGGACAAATCTGCTCTGCTTCGTATAGTAACAATGTGTGTGTGGCTGAGGATGGGGGGCGCTGCAGGGGCCAGAAGTTAGGGGTGGGATGGTGGGCAGTGTTTACAGGTAAATAAGTAAACCTTCTCTGCAGCCAAAGTTAGAGTACACAATAACATGAAGCACTAACCCCGGCAGCAGTTCTGTGAGTATCTCTCCTGGGAGCCTGGGGTGTCTGGTGAGTCCAAAGGAGGGGAAGCAGGACAACAGGTGCCTGTGGGACCCTGAGTGGTACACCCACGGAAGTGCATGACCAGGCCCCACAGTGGGAGCATCCTCAGGGATCACTGTGGACCACAGTGTCAGGGTGGGCTATTACACCCTACCTAGTTTCTCCTAGCATCCAGAGCCAGTCTAGCCCATGGCTTTTCCCACCTGTTGCCTGATGCATGGACAGGAGCCTGCAACACTAGCCCTGGATAATGCAGGTGGAGCAGGTACCAGAGCAGTGAGGAAGCACAGGAAGGATACGCATTGCATCTGCTGGCACAACAATGCTACCTTTCCATAGTGAGGACAGGAGCCGCTGAACCTTAGGGGCCACAGTGGCTGGGGCTGCCACCCACTGGGAAGCCCAAGAGTGTGGCAGAGAGAGAAGAGCACCACTGGTCAAGACCAGGCACTGGCTCCTCTAAACTGCCTGCTGGGCATGGGCTTAGACGGATACTTACTGCACCTATGCAGTCCAGCCCCTTCTCCTCAAGGTAGCAGGAAGCATGGCTCCGAGGGGGACAAGTTCCCCACCAGTTTGGAATACATGGTGGGAAGAGGCAGGATTTCACTGTGTATCTGGAGTTCCAGCAAGGCTGGATAGGTCAAAGGTGGCTGCTCTTGGCTTCACAGCCCCCATTGCACATGCCCCAGCCAGTTTGAGGGTGGAGAGGCCTGTGTGGACATCATTGTCCGTGAGGCCAGACTCCCACAGGGCACCAGTGACAAGCAGTTCTAATGCCCTCAGTAAGTTTTGTGGTTTTTTTTTAAGTTTTTATTGTGAATTATGTGTTAGTTTACATGGGTGAACATTATCTTTATATTCATCCTATCATATTTCATTTCAGTAAGTCTTTGTACCTCTTTCCTCTGTGGCAGCCTGCAGGTCTTTTCCCGTGGGCCCAACCTGGGAACTGGGAGTGGGTAGCTTCTTCTCAGTGTTACTGGACTTCCGGGAGCCTTCCAGAGAGCTGGCTGGCTCATTGAAGAAATCCTGCGTTGAGCTGGAGTCTGAGAGAGCCACAGCCATGCTGTCCTGGCTACGTTCTAATAGGAAAGGAGGGACGGAGAGGGTGGAAGCATAAGCCCACAGCCCCTTGCATGTGGAGGTGCCCCCAGGGTTCATTTTCTTTCTGTGGGCTTGGACCACCTTGCAGAGCTGTTCTGACACTGCAGAGCTGACCTGGCTGGAGGCCACCAAGTCATCCATCTCCACAGTGGGTCTTCAGGGGCCCCCACATGGGGTGCTCTGCTCAGTGTTTAACAACAACTGCTCTCATTGTTGATGACTCTAGTGGCATAGATACTCCCAACATGGCCAAGTACAAGCTACCAACATAGTGTCACTGAGCTGGAACTAGAAGGAGGCACAGAGTAGCTACCATCAAGCAGCATTTCTACTGTACAGGCTAGCGGGAGAGAGGCAAGAGCATGGCAAGACTCTCCCTCAGGTGGCACAAAAGGCCAAAAGATGAAGGCAGAGCTGGGAAATCAAAGGCAAACCTTCTGAAACACCAGCTCCCAAACTAAATACATATAGTATAATTTGAATTTGAAGCCAACAATGCACTGAAGGCAGCCATGGCAACAAAACCCAATTCCATCTTAACTTTGGATCCGACTAACTCATCTTTTTATACTAACAGTCAAAAGCAGAAAAGGAAACTTTATTTCAAGCACAAAAGTTATCTTGCATCAATCCCTTCTCAACTACATATGATATCTGGTATCAAATTAAAAAATAAAAACAACTAATGAAAACAACAAAACAAGAAACACACGTGAAGAAAGAAAAAAAGTCCAATGTCAACAGAGAAATCAATCAATGGAAGCAGGTTCAGAGATGACCCAGATATTGGAACTATCTTATGGAGAACGTACAACTATGTGGCACTGTTCAAACCCACCAGCTGTTCCTCGGAAATCCTACCCAGGGTCACTATGAGTTGGAACTGACTTGATGCCACTTAACAACATAATAACTATGATTAATGTAATTAATAACTATGGTTAATACAGTAAGACTCTAGTGGAAAAGAACAACATTCAGGAAAAGATAAGAGGATTTCAGGAAAGAAGAACTATAAGCAAGGAATAAACTGGAAATGCTATAAATAATCATTTTAAAAACTGTAAAAGATGAATGCCTTTGTCAGGCTTTTCAGTAGACTTGATAGCTTTCTGAGAGGGAAAAAGAAAATCTTGAAAATATATCAATATAAATAATACAATCAGAAAGGAAAAGAGTATAAAACAAACAGATCGGAGCACCCAAGAGCACCAAATACCTAACACACTAGCTGAAATCCCAGAAAGAAATGAGAAACAGGATGGAAAAGCTATCTTAAAATACAATGACTATCAGAGGCGGGGCTTGATGGCAGATAGGGTAGAGGTGCAGTGAAGGTCTCCGTCAGCAACAACACAGAATACCAGGCAAAGTGGGATCGGGGGAGAACTCCAAAACTCTGAACCACATATATAGAAATATTTTAAAAGTTTGAAAGCTTATAGCTAGTGGAACTTATAGCAAAAGCAAGATACCTTGTACTTTCGAACCTGCTGGGCTCAGCAGCCTGGAGTCACCAACTTGGGTGAGATCAAACGGCAAGACCAAGCAGGGTATCAAGCAGACCTGCCACGGAATAACACCTGCGGGAACCTCGTAGACAAAGGTGGACAATAATTTTTGTTTTGTTCTGACTTTTTTGGTATCTGTTCATTGGCCTCTCACTGTCTGTGCACCTCCATTCTGGTGACTAAAGGGGGTGCTGGAGCAAGTGGACACCCACTCCCACCACTAGAGGGTTTTTCTACCACACATGCACACAGATCCTCTCAGCATTTAAAGGGGCAGTCCCTGCTTAAAACCAAACAGAAGCGCAAAACAGTCACAGGCGGCACTGAATTGTTCATTAATAGGGAAAAGGCCAGAACGGGTTGTGGAGTGGGAGAGAGACTAAAAAAACTCATATTAGTCTACAGACTTTGTTTTTTCTCTCTATCCTCTCTCTTTTCTGCAATTATAGACTACAGTATCCAATCTGTTATTGTTATTTTTTTGCTGTTGCTGGTTTTTTTTGTTGTTGTTGTTGTCCCCCCTTTAACCCTTAGGGGACTCTTTCTCTCCCTATATTACCCAAGAAGAGACAGCAATTGCTGCCATATAGTCAACCTATAATCAATCACACCCTATAAAACTCCACAATCCAGGCAAGAACCAATACCAACTGCCATACACCAGGGAGGCAGACACACCTGCGAAAGTTACTATGAGTTAAGCAATAAAAAGAGTGAAAATGGAAGCCCATCTCTTGATCACATCTACCTGGAGGCAATCAGAAAGCATACGAAACACCAAAGCACACACACAAGTATTAAGGCCACAGATAACCACTGAACATGTTCAAGAAGCAAAAGCAGATGACCATAACAGTACATGTCTAGAAACAAGATAAAATGTCTGACACAAATGACCTAGAAGTAGACCTAGACTCCATTCTGGAAGGAGGGCAGGCCTTGGAAATGCCTGAAAATGAATTCAGAAAAAAGATTATAAAATGTTTCAAAAACATTGAGAAAAATAAGGAGGAAGTCAGGAAAGCACTATAGGAACAATCAAATAAGATAGATACAGCATTGGAAACAATTCAAAACCTACAGAAAGAGGGCCAAAAGATTAATACTAGAATATCAGAAATAGGCAATATACTGAAAGGGCAAAGAAGTAGAATTGAAGAGATCAAAGTCAGAACTGGTAAGCTGGAAAACAAATCTCTCAAAACTACAACGATAGAAGAGCAAGCAAAAAAAGGATAAAAAAATTTGAAGAAGGTCTAAGATTTATGTTGGACAACATGAAGAGGAGTAACAAGAATTATCAGCATTCCAGAACAGAAAGAATCACACAAATCCATAGAGGAGATAGATGAAGAGCTGCTGGAAGAAAATTTTCCTAACATCCTGAAAAGCGAAAAGATAAGCATTCAAGAAGCTCAAAGAAACCAGGAAGGTTAGACTCCAAAAGAAAATCACCAAGACATATCATAATCAAGCTCTCCAAAATCATAGATAAGGAGAGAATCCTGAAAGCTGCTAGGGAAAAGAGAAGTGTTACTTACAAAGACAAGCGAATCAGATAAAGCTCGGATCCCTTAACAGAAACCATAAAGGCAAGAAGGCAATGGGGAGACATATATATAAAACCCTGAAAGAAAAAAACTGCCAACCAAGAATCCTTTATCCAGCAAAGCTGTCAATCAAATACAATGGTGTAATCAAAACATTCCTGGGTAAACAGAAGCTAAAGCATTTTGCCAAAGCCAAACCTGCGCTACAAAACATCCTAAAGGTAGTTCTGTAGACTGAGAACCAACAAGAACAGACAATAACCAGAGATTGACATACTTGGGAGAACCTCCCGGAACTCAATAGACAACTGGAAGAGTCGAGAAAAGAACAAAACTGTAAGAACAAATTCAGAGGATCTGGGAGGTCAGTCTATGATCAAAACAATTACAATGTGAAAGAAGGTAAACACA